AGAGTCTGTCATACAGAGTGAAGTAAGTCAGAAAGAGAAATACAAATACCGTATGCTAACACATATATATGGAATTTAAGAAAAAAAAATGTTATGAAGAACCTAGGGGTAAAACAGGAATAAAGACAGAGACCTACTGGAGAACAGACTTGAGGATATGGGGAGGGGGAAGGGTGAGGTGTGATAGGGCGAGAGAGAGACATGGACATATATATACTAACAAACGTAAGGTAGATAGCCAGTGGGAAGCAGCCGCATGGCACAGGGATACCGGCTCGGTGCTTTGACTGCCTGGAGGGGTGGGATAGGGAGGGTGGGAGGGAGGGAGACGAAGAGGGAAGAGATATGGGAACATATGTATATGTATAACTGATTCACTTTGTTATAAAGCAGAAACTAACACACCACTGTAAAGCAATTATACCCCAATAAAGATGTTAAAAAAAAAAAAGACCCAATTTAAGTAAGATAATTTGATATATAAGTCAGCATACATAGCCTGAACTCTTCCGAAAGACCAATATGACACAAATAGATAAAAGTGCCTGAGCAGAGCCTGTATAAAACAAGACTAAGGATGGTCAGATACATGTGAAGAATATAACATGGACACGAGTTAAGTATTTCTAACTGTTGCCAATGGAGACACAAAGATGAGATACAGATATAAACCATTACCAGGTAAAAAGAGCTCTAAGAAATGGATTTTCTATCAGATTTGAAGTCATATTTCTACACGTTTTCGATTTTCACAGAACTCTGCTACTTGGAAAAAAGCAAGATGGGAATAGAAAGATTATAATCCAGCATCACAATGATCAAGGCAGTATTTTAAGAGGCTAGTCCGTACTATTTACAATTCAGACTTCACTATTACTCTGTATTAATAATTGTTCACCCTTCTTAAAGGACCAAAATAAGAAATTCTATTATCTGACTTGGTAAGATGCTTCAGTAGTTAACATCCTAGGAAATCTAGTACTGTGTCTAGCCAAAGACAGAACAAAAGGAAAAAGTTTATTTCATATATATATTAAGCCATCTCTTGACTTGTTCCTCCAAACTAAAGACCATATTTACAGCTTCTCTAATTGTTCAATACTACTCTGAAAATGTAGTTAAAGATTCTGAGCTGTTACTCTCAATGAGGGACTGAGCTAAATGTAACAGGAAGATTAGTTTCGCATGCCATACCACAGTTAATGCCCTTCTCCAATTAGTACAGAATTAGGTTAATCATAATGGTCATTAAACGGCAAATACTGTTTTTTCCTTCTCAGATAATTTCTAAGATCCAGGATAAGTAACTTGGTATAATAAAAGATCCCCAGAGCCCCAACTTTCCTTTATCACTTAGGCAAATTTCTAGTCTTATTTTCTTCTTAAGAAAGTTGTCACTGTTTTCACTTCTGACACCTGAAAGTTATGTTAGTCCATCATCCACAGACACTTCTGGCAAAGATCTCATGGTCAAATTTCTCTTTAGGAGTTGTTCTACTTGGTAATTTCCCCTAAATAAATCAGTAAGTGACTCAAACACTTAGGTAAGATTAGGAAAAGACTTTCTTTAGTGTATGCTGCTCATTCAGTGGTAGTAAGTACCCTTCCTTTGTGTACAGATCCCTGTTGCCCTCCTCCCCTCCATATCCCACACCACTTTGGCTCATCTTTTATGCCCCCTCCCCCCAAGAAATAGTATCTGCTCTTTGGGAAAAGAGAAAAGCTTTAAGTTTGGAGGAGTCAGGGAAGACCTGCCTGGAGTTGGAGACTTCATCACATCAAATAATCTATATGCAGCATCCTCATGTACGTGATGCCAGTGGAGGAGGGCAATGGCAGACACTGAGGAAGGCAGCCTGAATCCAGATCTGAGGATAAGAGAAAAGGGTGTTCCAGGGAACAGACTCTACCTCAAAAGAAGACCAAATGAAAGGGTGTCCTATACTTCTAGAAACACGAAAATGACATTATAGGTCTGAGGGAGTGATCTATTCTTGAGAGACACCTTTGGAAAATATGCAGGGCCTCTGGGAATTAAGAAAGAGCATTCCAAAAACAAACAGCCATCAAATACTACTGTCACTAGATCCAAAAACAATATATAACTAGAGAAGAGCGAGAGAGAGAGAGAGAGAGAGAGAGAGAGAGAGAGAGAGAGAGAGAGAGAGAGAGAGAGAGATTTTATAGTGCGTTCCATAATCACTACGGAATAAACAGTCCAACTTGTCATTTGATCAAGGAAAAGGAATTATGTCAATTGTAAACAGGACTTTTCCTCTACTCTCAGTCAAATGATAACAGTGACTGAATTAATCCAAAACACAATTCAATCATTCTTTAACTTGGGCAACAGTGCTCTAGAGTACCTGGGGCCCAATCTCACACAATAATCACAAATGGACATGTTAACCAATATCACAGGAGCACACACAGAACACCCCTCCCTACCCAGTCACCAACTGCTATGTGCTCTCAACTCAGTAACCTCAAGGGCTCTCAGAAAAGACAACAGTGAATACTCACAAACTGAGCACCAAAAATGTAGTATACATCCCACCTTAGTCTCACTGACTCTTGATGCGTCAGTATTTGTGGTTGAACAACTAACTCATTATAAACTCATACGGGCAGAGTGTGGCTATCTAGAGAACGTGTTAGATATGTCACCAGTACTGGAATCCTAGCCTAAAAGAAAAAACCGTGTAAACACAGACATACCTTTTTACAGGAGCTGAACATGCCATCAGGCAGAAGCGGCCTTCGACGCCTCTCAGGGATAAAGGGTGAGCCAAAGCGAATGTAGTGTTTGGGGGTGGTGCAAATTAACGGGGAATGGATAAGACCGGGTAACATGTTCAGGGTCGTTGCCAGTACAGTTGGGTCCGTGGTGATACGTAAAGGGCACTCAACAGGGCACTCTTGCTTCTCTGCTTTGTCATTCAACCACTCTGTAACTAGATACTAAGTTAAAAAAGAGACCATCAGTTGATGCTGCAGATGCAAAAGCCAGAGGAAGCAGTGTAGCTCACAAACACAAACCTCATCTAGAAACTAGACAGAGGTAGATATAGCAGCTGCAGAGAGTATGAATCGCACATTCAGAGCACAAGGGTATCTTCTTTCACCCTCTCCATGAGCACTATGGAAGGAGTGATTTCAGCTCAGCAATTTAAACTCTGCCTAAAAATTATGCGAACAAAAGTAAGGCAGCAGGATGACCTCAGCCCTATGTGTCTAAGCATTTTATCTAAAACTTTCAATCTAATAATTCTTAGATTATTATTATTATTTGTTCCCCTGGGGATTACAGGTCCTTTCACTTTACTAAGCCACAGCTTTCGGCAGACTACACTTAACGAAGATGTACTTGTAACTTACCTTTTTGGTTTTGGGGTATTTAGATGCAGCACGGTTGACATGGGATCCAGTAACTGACACCACAGTTGGGTCAGACCCTGTTAATTGCCTGTTTTCTCCTGAACTGTCTACATTTCCAGCTTCAGTAGGAGTTACTGAGCTGTTATTTCCCCCCTCTTCCAAGGCAGCTTGTGATAACTCTGCCTGCTGTGCAATGGCCTGCTTCTGACGCTTTAGTCTTTGGGCTGAACTGGTCCGGTACCGAGAAATTCGACTCTTCGGTCGGGGCCTAGAAGGCTTTGCTGGAGGTGGTTTGGGGACTGGTTTTTCGGCAGCAACATCCTATAACAATAGCAAAGTTAACTGCTTACCAGAAATTTCTTATCAGCAAACATTCTATCCAGTTTCCTATTCACTTTAAGCATCCTGAATGTTTACTGGTGAAAAAAGTGAGCGTTTAAAAACATTAATTTCAAATGTAATCCTTATAAAATTTATACATTTAAATCAGCTAAAAAGGCTACAGGAAGATGTCTCAGTTATTTCTTTTTCTAATAAGTATTTATAAAATAGGTCTAAAGTCAGCTGAAAGTAGCCACCTAATTTTAGGTTCTTAGCAGGGAAGGTAATTCTTCCTTTGTCTCTTTCCCCAGATACTAAGGTTTTAGCTTAAGGCTTAGAATCCATGCCTAAGGTAGGAAAAGGAACGAAGAATTAATTCTGAGAATCCTATGAAAGGTCAGGTACATGACAGTGCTACACAGAGAGCCAAAGAGAAACCACATGATTTTTATGAACTCACCACCAACAGTATCTGGCAGAAATTGTAGAAAGTCCCATTCTAGTCTGAGAGTATCTAGTCATTCAAACTCTATCTCCTTGAATCCCACGAATCAGCTGACTGAAAATAGCCTTAATTATTGCAAAATAAGGCAAAGCTGAAAATGCTGACACTAACCATTCCAAAAGATAGGTAATTGATATTAGCAAAAGAAAGACTGACTAGGACCTGGAGTCTTTTCATCTTACCCCTGCTTGGGAAGACCTCCGGGTGTTCACTCCAACACTCTGTGGGTTGCTTGGGATGGCAATGTTTGAAGCAGTGTTGCTAACTTCAGATTCAGGGGCTTCAGTTTTTGTCTCCTCTCCCACAGGAGTCTCTGAGGTGGTGGTAGTAATCTCTATGTCAGAGTTGCTCTGTTCCAAGGGCTGATCCCGCCGCTTCTTTCTTTTCTCTAAGTTTTCAAAAGCATGCATGATGGCTTCAACCTTCCTATCTTCCCGGGTCTAGAAAGAAATAACATTATCATAGAAGGAAGCCTCAACCAGGAGAAGGGAACAGCTTTTCAGAAGTATTATTAATGGAAATTGATAGACATTTACAGAAAATACTAATAAGATAATATATATATCTTTGAGAACGTAAGATAAATACTAAAAATGTTTCATCTTTAATGTTGCAAAGAGTTGTAAAGAAAGGCAAGGTCAAACCCAAGCTTTTCAAAAAGGGTCAGCTATTTTGAAACTTTTTAATACAAAAGAAAAATAGCCATCAAAACCAATTTTTCTCTGCATTTTCAGAGTTCAAAAGAAAAAAAGTTAAGCAGGTTTTCTTAAACAGCTTCTCAGGGACAGAAATAGACATGAATGATTTCAGCCATAAAGCAGAATTTTTGAATCCATATGACTGAAGGTTTCGTTTGTTTTTTAAATGTCAAAATTCACACACACTTAGGAAATTCCTAAGTTAGAGTAAGTAGCCTAAGGATATTTTGTTCCATTAAGACAGTTTTTTGGAAATCAAACTGTTAGTAAGAAACCTCTTAAAACCATCATCTGGTAATAGTCACTAGAGAACTACATATGTCTGTGTAAAAAACCATAATAGAATCTACTTTATAGAAAAAGCCCACACTGTGACCTAGAGGTGATGGCATAGTAACTTACTGAAGAAAGGAGATGATATAAATTCAGAAGACAAGGGGTTTACATGCTATAGG